CCCCCCCCCCCGTTTTTTTTTTTTTAATAATGATCACCTTCCTCTCCTTGCCTGTTTCCATTACCTCACCACTTCTCTGTTTCTTTTTATTCATATCTTGCTGTCTGTTTCTGTGGTTTTCAACCATGACTGCTGGTTTTCACTCTACTGTTACAGCACCTCACAGATTAGCACAACACAAAGAGGTGAATTTCTAGTGATTGGTTAGATAAATTTTGAGAAATTTGCCTCTGGGATTTCTGTCGCCACATCAATAAAGTGAATGGAGCTTTATTTTTATTTTATTTTATTTTTTTAAGAGCCACCTTTTTACCAAACAGTCATGACGGTCACTTTCATGAAATAGCCCCAAGTTAACAAGGACATGGTTTCTAGAAAATCATGTTGCTGCAGAATTTATAAAATCTAATTTTCTTCACATCTGTTACTTTGAACTGTAGGCATAAATCTCAGAGACAAATATCTTAGGGCTTCAGCAAATAAAACAAACTATGTGCATGGATAGATAATACTTGATTTAAAGTATAAGGCTATTATTTTATCATTTTTTTCTTACTGCCAACAAATACCATGAAAAGACCAAAACCAACCGTGTGTAAGTCTGTTTCTCACTACCCTGACGTCCCGACCCTGTATGTGGCACTCAGCCCCAAGCCCAAACATTACTCAAACCTATGTACATGTGTTGGAATATTTTCAGCTGTAGATTAATGCACATTTGGTGCACCTGTGAATAATTACAGCACCAGGCAGTGTATGTGGAATTTACTCAAAGTAAACCACAGTGCCTGTGTTCATGGCCTTGAATAAATATGTCACTCTGTGCAGCAGTGTGGCTCACTGATGTGTCTTTTGGACAAGCAAGATGATAGTAAAATTGGTTCATTTTTGATTTTGGTAATTTCTTTGGATTTATTGACAGGGGAAAAAACCTGTATCATCAGTCTTCTCCTTTAAGAAATTGTTTTATTGTTTGGAGTCTGGGTGAACCAACCCTTTAAACTTCACCACTGTTTTTTTTTTCACCCCACATTCTCTGGTGCAATCATTGACTCTACTCCCTACTGCCCCCTGCAGGTGAACTGCGGCACATCACTAAGCTGAAGCCGTGGTCCCTGTTTGACGTGCTGGTGGAGAAATATGGCTGGTCGCATGAAGACGCCGGCCACTTCACTCACTTCCTTCTACCCATGCTGGAGATGGTGCCTGAGAAGAGGGCCTCGGCTGGTGAATGCCTGAACCACCCCTGGCTCAGCTCGTAGCCACAAATTCTGATCAGATGTCCTCCTCCCTTTGTTCCCCAGCAGTTAGTCCAAACATCACCCCTTGGTGGCAGCCTGTGGAACAACAGTGTAGAGAAAGCTGGAGGCAAACGGATGAAGTAGTGCAAAAGACTTCATCTTTCTACACCTAAACATCTCCCAAACTGAATTGGATCATTTGAAGATGGATTCTGCTCGCAGCATTAAAGGGAGAAGTCAGGCTCTGTCTATGAAAGATGTGCCTTTCTTCTTCTCTTCTGCCATAAAGATGTCAGCCAGTAGCCACTTGTATCTATCGACCTGCCACCTCTGAATATTCATTTTAACTTCTCTGGACCCAGCTGCTAATCTTTTCAATGACATGGAAGAAAAGTCAGCAAGAAGCCCCTGACAGATCTGCTATGACCTCTAGATGGCCCAGTCCACAAAGAAAAACAAGCGTGTGTGTGTGTTAACGTGTGCGACTATGAGTGTACGTGCCTGTGCTCAAGATCTCCCAGCTTCCCTCGCTCATCCTGCTGTGGGAGAACTATCCATATCGGACTAAAGGTTTACACCCTGATTTCTTCCAAGAGCCCGTTCCTAAAAAATCTTTATCTGTTTGGTTCCCTATTTCCTCACCTCCCAAATGAGCTGCAGGCTACTGCCAGGGGCCACCACAGAGAACTGGCGGGCAGCCAGTCCTCCATGGGGCACCACCACAATGACATTTGCAATTGTGAAAGAGACAGAAAAGGTGCAGGATGAGCAAAAACAAGATTTCAATCAGTTTAATGTGGAGGAGGACAGCTTGGTCTTCAAAGACTTTTTAAATTGCATGGAGAGACTGATGGATTGGCATGAACGGATATGACAAATGGACCATGGATGCATTATTTCATTTGTGCATTTCACTTATTTTTGTCCTGTTCATTACATCCCTTGGACATCCTGTTAGAAAGAATTGCTTTAGAATTTTTTGGTGCCGCCTCTGAGGAAGATCACCTTGTTACAACCTCTTCTCCTTCTACTTTTGACATTCCTATATCATTCCTGACTTAATTCCCAGGAACATTTCTGTTGAGTCCTGCTGTGGAACGTTTTACCTGGTACTATTCTCCCTTTGTTCCCTGAGCTTCTCCATAACGGGGATGGTCACATGGAGGTTGCACTTGTCTTTGTAGATATCCTTCAGGGATTGAAACCTTTGTACATAGAACTGAGATCTGGCGACGCCGATAAGCAATCGTGGACAAAGTTTCAACACACAAGCATCATTCCAAAAAGAACGGAGGCTGGTGTTGGTTGAACTTGACTTCCCCTGATACAGTGGGAGCCCCAGACCTGAAGGAATGTTGTCTGAACTGTGCCACCTGGTGGCTTAATGAGAGTACTGCATCACCACACACTGCTGCTGCTCTCAGTGCCAACGCTCCAAGACGTTCCATTATATCTCTCCATTTAATCTCTATTTCTGTCACATGCACACACAGACACAGAAAAACTTGCATCATCACAGTTAGTCCAGTTGCCTATTTTTCGCAATAAATGAAAAAAAAGATGAGTATAAGTAAATGGTGAGATATTTTTAAAAAATATTTAATTCAATAAAAAAAAAAAAATTCTCTGGTTGTTGTGACCGTGACAGAATCTCGTCATATACCGAGGTGATTGTGTTTGTCTGTTAGAAATATTTTTATTTCTTTTGCCATTATTATTAATTATAGTTATTATGTTTTGCAATAATGGGTATGTGATGAGTTTTTTTGCACCAAAACCTCCTAATCTCACTCTTTCAGCCATGCTGACTGTTCTTCCTGATAACATTGACAGAACTGAGTCTCTTGTCTGTGTTTTTCATTGACAGATTTAATAAAATTGTAAGTTAATGGATCCTGTGGCCTTGATGGAGTGAATTTTCTTATGTCTGGTCGCTAGAGACAACAACATCAATTAACACAGATTCCCTTTTATTGATATGTATATAATTCATACAAATGTTCACACTATTTTAATGGAAAGTTAAAAGACACGGGTCAGATGTGAGTATATTTACAGTAGAGTCATGAGGCTCACACTGTCAATGTGAGAACAAATGTTACAGTACATTGTGTCACACTGAAGCAAAACAATAGACAACATTGTCTACAGTGCAGTAAAAGATAGCGGTAAGACATCCTGAGATCAACATTAATCACTAAAAAGTAAAAATATGCTTTTGAATATCGACTAGCGATTTTTGCAGCATTTTGATTTGTATTTTAAATCACTACAAATGGTCTCTGATACCATCTGTGTCAGCTAATGTGTTTGCCCCATCCATTAGCACTCAAACTACAAGTAGTACCTCAAGTAAACCATACACAGTCTTATTCATTATGCTCTGTTAGAAGTGCTTTTAAGTTTATTTCAGTTATTCAAGTGTTCATACTTCAACCAGACATTTAGAGCGATGGAGGGGGAAATACCCACCAATGTAAAACTCAATGAGGTATCTACAGCATCAGTGCTGCTCAAATGACATAGATTGTGATCCACAGTGGAAACTTGCATTGTAAGCTTGAAGACAACAACCATCATGGCATTAGGAGGATATACATGTGTGCCTATAGATGTACTACAGTATATTTATACATTTTATAGGGCTCGGTACCTGTGTGTCCACCTGTTGTACTTGCACTGTGTATATGTATTTGTGTTTCAGAGCGCTGACACAGAGTTCTTTAGCAGCAGGGGTTTGGCCAAATCCAGGATATCCAAGTTTGGATCAAGTGACCTGCCCAGACCTTCCAACACCATGATGGCAAATACAATGGAGGCAAAATTACTCTCCAACTTCACCTAGAAAACCAGAATGTTTGCATCAGACAAGTGCCTGCATCAAGACGTTCACTATTGTTTAAGTTTGCTGCTGTTTACAGTAAGTACAAAACTAGGAATATACTGTACAAGCACAGTTAATACGGTGAAAGGGCTGCAACCACCTTTTTACAACTCAGTTATCACATCATTATTGTTTCTGCAGCTTTTGCTGTCTGTAGATAAACATTTTAACCCACACTGGTCCTCATGCACACTTTTATATTCTTCAAAATGTTGCTTATAGAAACAAGCAAAACTCAGGACTAGGTAGGTGACTGCAGAGAAATTACTTTTCAATTATTTGAGAAAAACTCAAGACCAGTGGTTTAGTTAAGCAGAACTTTCAGACAGACAACCAAAGTGTTTGTTTGTTGGCCATAATAAATACTGATATTTTACCTTGTGTTTGATGAGTAGGCCAAAGACTCTGGAGAGCAGGTCAGCCACTTGGATCTAAAAACACAACAATTTTTGATAATTTCATTTACCCAGTAAATGAAACCCCACTAATAGTATTCCTAAAGTCACTGAGCACTTTCACAAGCCAGCATTACTTTTTGAATAGTTGAATACTCCCAGCTGATGGATGGTTATTTGCAAAAGTGGCTAATGAAGGAGAGAAACCTATCATTGTTATAATGGTGGTTTGTATTAATTTTACTTTTTAAACCCAGGCCATCTATAGTCTATGCAGAAATTACATCACAAGAAGGTTTTCTGGAAAAAAAAAAAAAAAAAAAGATGGGTCTTTGCAAAGCAATGTAAGCTTAGAAAACTTAGAAAACCATGGTGTCTTAGTATAAAAACCCTGCATTAGTACCTTTCCCAGAGAGAGGGTGTTGCTGACTGCATGTTCCACCAGCTGGGCCATCTCCTTCTTAAACTGTGGCACGTCCTGGCACTCATTAGCTCGGGCATGATGCAAAATCAACTCTGCTACTCGTTCGCCCTGAAGATAGAAGCACAGTTAGTCCCAACCAGACTGTTTCTCTGACCTACAGATTTTTTTTTTTTTTTTTTAAAGGAGGTAAAGGCTGATTTTCTTTTTCTGTGGAAAGGTGAAAATTTTAGACATGTTTAAGGTGAACTTTAAAATATGTTTTGCTAAATCCCTATAAAGTGAGAAATGCATACATTTCCAAAATGTTTCCCCTACATTAACTGTGCCTGCCCTTTCATTACCTGCCGCAGCACCACAGCTGTGAAGACAGCCTTGAAGTTGGCAAGGTCTTGTTTGCTGAGCTGGGCTACAATGCCGGCGTCAAGCAGCACCAACTGGAGAGGACATGGCTCTGGTCTGACACTAACCACCACTGTGTCCCACAAGTCAGTGAGGGTGGTCTTACCCTGGGGTTTCCCTGTGCTGGCACTGAAACCAGGTTGCCGAAGCTGGACAAGGATGTTCCCAGGATGGAGGTCCCCATGGACAAAGTTGTCCACAAAAACCTGGCATGCAGATGGATACATGGAGACAACTGGGCAATGTTCTATTTATGAAGTAGTCTAGTCATGTGATACCATTCAGTCAGAGGTCAGAATTGTATAAACAATCAGTTTTTCACAGAGACACAGACCAGCCTCATAAACAAATGCAAAAATAGCAGTAATGATAATGATTAGTGTCACTGATGACCAGTGGGTTATGTATCTCACCATTTTCAACAGGGTATCTACACCCATCCTGGCTATTCTCTGCTTCACCTCTGGAGACGTCTCAGCGCTCAGATAGTTAGAAATGGGTTCACTCTCCTGAAACAAATGGTTGAATATAAAATTAAGAATGTTAGCCTCATTTATGAGAAATGAAAAATCACCAGAATAACAGAATACTGCACAGAAAACAGACATTGTGTCGCATTGGTTGAGTTTGCTAAATAAGACAACAGTAGTGAGCATTTGATATTCTGACATGCAACTTGCTGATACTGTGAATTTGGAGTGTAAACTATCACTCAATCATTCATTTTCCATAGATTTTAAATGCCTTTGTACTCACTTCAAAAGTTTCCACTAAAATGGTCCTGGTGACAAACGGTCGTAATGGAGTTGGGAACTTAACATAATCCACATCGCGGAAATTATCCCGGAAATGTTCGATGTTTCTGGCCTCAAAACGGAGATCAATCTGAAATAAAAGATCAGTCACATCATTGGAATGATTAGATTAGACTTCTGGCTTCTCTTCTGTGAGGCTGTTTGTTTTCAAGATGTCAACGAAATACACTTTATTTGCTTCAGATGATCCTCCAGTCTGACCTTTATAATGACATGCAAATATATGTAGAGCTGTCCTTACTGATCACAAAAAGACAGGTCCTATGTGTAATTTAAATAAGATAAGCACTAAGGCAAACAACTTTTGAAAGTCCTGTTTCACCTTGTGGGGCGGGGGTCTAAATATTCTCACCTGTTTGGTCATGAGCTTCTCAAACTCCTCTACTATCTCATACAGACTGAGCCATTTGAGTCCAGGTATGCAGTTGAGGAGCCAACTGCCTGCTTTCATCAGCAATAAGTCTATCTCCACCTGCCTCCTGATGCCTGGATGGACCACCTTAAAACAACAGAAACAATTATTACACATTTGCTACTGGGTGTGAAAATTTACTTTCAATATGCTCTTCTTAACACACAGTCTATGGAGGCACTGTGAGATTTTGAGGGATGAAGGAGAAATTCTTGCCATTATCAGACTTACCTTGATAGCCACTGGTATCAGATGCTTCTTCTCTGTGCTGCTCTCTCCTGGCTGACTCATCTCCTCATAGCCCTCCACCTCCCTGCTGCCCCTCCAGAGTTGCCACAGGGAGCTGGCCACTCCTCTAAGACCAAGGATCTCCCACGCTTCCAGCAAGTCTTCTTTCTCCCTTTCCTCCATCAGCAACTGAAAGGATGGCTCTCCCACCTCATCCGCCCTGGCCCAACCTCGGTACACCTGGGCCACACATCCCGAACCCACCGGCTCTTTGCTCTCAAACACAAAAACTTTCCTCCAGCCCTCCCCGAAGGCCCTCCGGAGACATTGCTTAGTGTGGGTCCAAGAGTGAGGGCGAACCTTGACATGGAGTCTGGAGAAGCGATCACAAAACTCCACAGAGAAGATGTCCCGTCTTGTGCTGGCCCACTGTCCTAGCTTGATGAAAGTTGGACCAGAGGTCTCAGTCACCCAAAGCAGAGCGTCCAGCCAATGAGAGGCCCAGCGGGTAGACACCAGAGCCAAGGGGGAGAGGAGGAGAAGGGGGCCAAATTTCAGAAGTAGAACCAATGCGCGGAAGCTCAAGCGAAGAAAAAACACAACTTTGTGCACCTGGACTTTGGCCAGAGATTTTCTGTCAGCAGCCTTGGGCGCAAGGGTTGCTTCCTGGCATCCAGCTACACAGAATGAACTGACTGCACCCCAACACAGCAGTGTCACCTTAGGTATCTGAGTTAAAATCTGTCCTCTTTTAACAAAACATGTCCTGGAGTTCTGGATGAATCTGACTCTGGTAATGAAGCCTGCTCGCTGAAAAGTATACCTCAGGTGGAGGAGGACTGCTCTTGCTCCAAAGGTTATCATGGCCATAATGTTAAATGGCTGTTATCTCACTCCAGGGGGTGTATTTGTCCATATGTGCCTGTGTTTATACTACAACACTGCAAAATCATTAGTAAAGGGTGACTCCAAAATCGAAATAGTCAATGGTTTCTATGTAAACATCAACAGTTTCTGTGTGGGACTCCACTTTAATATAAATAGGGAACATGGAATAATGTTTAACTATTCTAACCCTACAGTAAACTAGCTACAAGAATATCACGGACCATTTTTTTTCTAGAACTTTAACTTACGGTCATTATTGTAACAGTTAGCTTCTTGGATACGGGGAAAAAAAACTTCTGTTTCCGCAGAGGACAAGTGAGCTGTATCATTGTTCAGCTGGCGTTACTGTACATGTAGAAAATACCATCAATTGAAAACTGAACATCCATACCAACATTGTAATTAGAGCCTTCTGCACTTCCTGGTATGACGTTCTGCCAACCGGGTCACATGACTACGTCTTAAAGGCGTACGCTTGGAGCTACAATAAATAAGAAAACGAAAGAAAATGTGGTTTGTTCGTGCATACTATTTTTCACCTTATACGTGCAAATATCTGTCATGTGTCGGTGTTTCTGTACAAAAATGTAAATAAAGCTGATTTTATCAAGCTAACTCGTGAACTGATGGATCAAGTTGCCAAATGACCGAGCGCGCATACTTAGTTCAGCGCATTTCTTACTACAAGGCGGTTATGTACAACCTTTTTATAATGAGTAATTATGAAGACCCCTAACATTAATGATACGAGCTTAGCAACAGTATAGTTAAAGTCACTGTAGAGACGTTACCGTCCTCCAAGTGGCGACATATCACGCATCATTGTGGGTCCTCATTCCATCTGTCCCATCAGTTAAGCCTTAGGTTTAGATTTATAGTTTGCTATCCTAATAGACTGGGAAACTAACAAATATGCCTATTCACATGTGAGCTAGTAGGCTGCAGCTGACAATTCTTTTCTTTTCTAACTTGAATATTCCGCTTTTTGGTTAATTAATTAATTATTTTGCTGACAAAATGCCATAAAATAATGAAAAAGGGCATGTTATTATTATTTTCCACACACCAAAGTGACATGTCTTGTTTTGTCTGAACAAAATTGTGGGTGTGGGAATTAATGGAAGTGGCATACTCTGTGTTTTCCTGAACAAAGGTTGTAAGTGATTAAACACTGCTTTTTGTTTTTTCTTACTTTTTCAGGTTTTGGTATGGTCGATTAAGTCTGTTTCTGGGTCATAAATGAAAGAAAAAGGCAAGGAACAAAACGTACCTTAGTGATTTTATTGTCATTTCCTCTGCTTAAAACAGAGGTTGCAAACGGCGTACCATGCACCATGAAGGACTGAGAATTTGTCCTGGCCATGTTCCCGGTCACGGTGTGTGTCCCCTGGACAGTGGGCTCAGCGCACTCCCAGGATCTTAGTTGTCAGCCTGACAGAACACTCAGCAACACAATAAGGTGGGATAAACACTACACAGATGTTACTAGCCTCCACCTCCCACCCCCTTCTGCTCACTGCTATTGATGGAAAAGGCAGGCTTTTTAGATCTCTCTTGCATTTCAAAGTCGAGGTCAGGGTTTGGGCTCAGAGGTCAACCAGATAGTTGCTCTGCTGAGGTGATGCTCTTATGAAGGCTGCTCTGTGAAATGACCACAGGTATGCAACTCAAGCCCCTTTGCATGCTTTTGTATAGAGCTATTGAGTCATATTGCACTTCTGTATGGTCGAACGATTTCACTATGTAACCAGGATCCCTAATTATTTGTAACCTACAGTATTTATCTGTGCATATCTGTGTCTGTTCTGTCTGCTTTGTACATATTGCATGTGTACACTAAACAACATTAAATCCCACTGGTTCCAATATACCCCATACATTTAGTGAAGAGTTGCATAGTATCAGCATGGGGTGGACACAAAATCATGAATATCTATACTCAAAGAAATATAAAGCCCCCCCATAACAAACATTTTGCTGGCAAAGACTTTGCTTAAAAACAACCTTTCTGAAACAAAATATAATTTGCACACAGGTAATGCTGTAGTAATTAGATGGCCTGTATGAAATTGTATTAGATAAAGTTAATGTCCATGATATTGAGTGTCCATCCATGTTAGGGGTGCAATTAACTGCATTTTTTTTATTGATTAATCCGCAGATTACTTTCTAAACTGATCAATCAAGATGTCGGGCTATTACTGTAAATATCAGAAAATAAAGAAAAATGCCTAGCCTCGTTTTCCAGTCTGATGTCTTCAAATAAACTAGTTTTATATGACCATCAGTCAAAAATCCAAAAACATTTTGTTAGAATGGAAATTTCTAGATGTCTTGGGTGTCATCTGATACCCATGTCTCTGTGTGACATATTTTCAATGTAAAGATTTCAGGTATTGAACCCTGTTTGTCATCGCAGCATATATTCATAATTCTGGACAGGCCAACGAGAGCCTGTGGGGATGAACAGGTTAATTAATAATCACAGTCGCCATCAGTGTGCATGTCCAGCCTTGTTTCCTGGTTTCTCACTTTCTTTTCCCCCTCTTTTTCCACAGGACCATTGAGTGATTCTGCAGCTCTGGGTTTGATTGTGAGCTGGACTCGCCAAACTGTATTCTCTCACCTAGAGGAGGTCAGTGGTAATCAACCAAAACACCGCCCAACCACTTTGTGTCTGGAAACACTACAGCATTCAATGGACACCACTTATGCTTCTGTACTACTTGGTTTTGTTGCTGTTGGATGGCACATGTGAACCAGTAAACAAAATCTTAAAGAGATAAAACAGATGAGCATGTTGTCCCTTCAGTGAGCTAGGAAGAGGGGCCCTTGGGCTTCTTTAATTGGCTCCCAGAGGAGGCTGTTATTTATGTATTCAGTGGTGCTTGGCTTTGGCCCTTCCTGCTCAATTCCACTTTTTTTGAGCAGGACACTTGGTTTCCCAGGCAACTAAAACTCCAATCACCCAGCCAGCTGCAGATTAGTTCTGCAGTGGGGCGGGGGGCAGGAAGGGAAAAGGAAAGGGGGTAGTAGTAGCATGAGGGAAGACTATGGGGAAGGAGGGGTGGGAAAAGTTTGAGACGGGGAGAAAGAAGGAGCCCGCGTCACTGAGAGATAGGAGTCCGAGTGAGCGAATGTATGTTTAAGAGCTGAGAGAGGAAAAAGAGCTATAAACATTTAGCCCCAAGGCTCGACAGGAGGAGGGATTTTCCTGTCTTTGTGTCTTTTTCAAACTTTTCATGCGCTTGGAGTTGTACTCTGCATCTTTTTTCTGTGTGCTTATGTGGGAGGCAGGGGCTCTGCAAAGTGAGAGAAGTCAGGCAGGAGTAGGAGGCATAAAAACCACAGAGGAGAGAGAGAGGGAAAAGACTAACTACTCTGAAGGAAAGAAACCATGCAAGTGGATGCTATCTTCTGCGGGGTCAGGTTACGCAAAATGAGAAACTACTCCAAGAACACTTCACCAGGGCTCAGAAAGGTAAAGTGAAGAGTTAAAGACTGTCCCTGTGGGTGACCTATGTGTGTTTGCATAGTGTTCTCCTGTTTTCTCTAAAACAAAGTTTTACAATTTGTAGTACACTTTTCTTTCTATACAGTGTATTGGACATGGTGGTTGTGTTGACAGTGTTAATAGCAATGAATCAACTGAACCAAAGTGTCTTGCTCACTCTGAAAATCATCTGTGTAAATGTAGGCTATGTAGATGCATGTGCCTACTCTCTGCACTCTAAATGTACGTGCTTTCATATGACCTGAATGAGTCAGCAAGCACATGTCTGTCAATGTACAGAATGTACATCTATGCCTGTTAAAAGTAAAGCTCATGGTAAATGTTAGAATGTTGGTTTCTTTTTCTGTGTTTATTTGAACCAGGTTTCATTCTGCACCACTTTGGCTCCAGTTAAAGTATGCCTGAGTGCGTCTCAAGTAGCCAGTCTCAACTGTCTGCACCAAGTCCATTACAGAGTTGTCTGTATCTCAGTGAAGTGTCTGAGCACACATGCACACTGAATGGTTGTCAGCTCTCATCAGCCTATCACTGTAAATTCAAACAAAGAGAAGATAGATGTTGTTGGGATAATAGTCAGAGTGCACTCTAAAATCATGACATTCCTAACTAGCTTGTTCAGGGGAAGAGTGAGAAAAGAGTGTAGAGGATAAGTTAGATAGGAATTCTTTGCTGTGAACAAAGACACTTCTTTATGCAGACCCCTAGGGCGTGCATTGTTATGAGGAGGCAGGCAGGGGTGAAACGCCCTAAGGGAGGCAGTTCAGCTTCAGGTGGCTCCAGAAAGTCAGCTTCCAGTGATTAGGAACAACATTTTGACCACTGTTTAACAACTCGACCAACAAAACATAAAAACAAATATGTATGTTTTTTTTACTGTAATAAGAAGTTGATATGTTCCAGGAGACACAAAAAGGATACTGATTCACATCCACAGCTAACAAAAAATAGTCTGATCACTGGAGTCTCATTGTAAACAAACACAATTTAGTTTGCATTTCCCAGTAGAATGCACCCTTAAAGCATCTTAAAGCATCTTGATTACATTTTCCACCTCATAAACCTTTACAAATGATTTTGAATATATGGAAATATTGTGAGTCTTGCAAGAACAACTTTGTTTTCTCTTAATTAGTGTTGTTACTTTACTGCCACCAACTGACAGTATGTGGAAATGCAGGAAGCAAGGAAGACACCTACAGTACGTTTCCTGATGTCTTCCATCAGTGGACAGGTTTTATTTACCAGTGTATTTGACAAGTTGGCAACTGACATGAAATGATGTTCTACAGCTTAGACAGGAATATTCACTGCATTGTTGCCCTCTGCTGTCACCAGAATATGTCATCCATTTGCTTGTGACATGCATACAAAGCCTATCCTGCACATGCTGGAAGAACCCTATTAGAAACATGTTCATCAAAATACTCGCTCTTCAGTGCCACCGGTGGCGAAAACACCACAAAGCAACTTTAAATGTGATACACATCAGTGCATGTGCATGTGTGTTGTGAATCGACCATAACAAATACTCTGCTGCATGTTATACCACAGTACAACAGGAATGTCTGCCATGCCAACGAGAGCTTCCTAAGGCATTTTAGTTTAGCCTCTTTTGGGTAATATTTAACTCCAAGAACACCATCCAATGAAGCTTTTGATATTTATGTGCTAGCAGCTGAAGTGCTTTTTCATTTTAGAACAACTTTGTTTTGCCTCTTAATTCAGTTTCATTTTCATGTTGGCATAAATGAAAAGCTTCTGCGGGTCACTAGAAGTTTTACTGAGCACTAGCCAACATTCATCTGCTCTGTCTCATGTTGTCTCTCCATAACTGGGTACGGTTGAGAGCTTTTTGAACTGAGAGTG